GGGTTTAGTACAGCATCCAGCCAGGTCTTTTCTCCATTGTACACTTTTCCAATGTACCTGCCCAGTGGAATGGCCAGTACAACTGTGATAACAAACATGGCAATAATGCCGGCAATTTCTGTGTCCATTTTTTGAAAGGTTTAAGGTGGAGGGTGGAAGGTATAGGGCGCTACACCTTCTGCCTTACGCCGTTGTTAAAATTTTTCCGGTTTTACAAGTACATAGCACATGTAGCAAAAAACCAGGACGGAGATGATAAATAAAATTGTCATAGTCTGAAATTTTTATCGTTAAGATCACAGGAAGAGAAAGTGTTTATAAGGGAAAAAGTTATCAAGTCTGCTTCTTACCTCTTTTTCTTTTTCATCTTTTAGCACTCTCTTAGCTGTTATATGCGATCAAAAAATTCGATGGCTTTAAAGAACAGCACAAACCCCATCAGTCCTGCCGCAATTAAAATAGCTGTTAGCATACTATTGATTTAAAAGGTTATAAATAAGACCAGCACCCATAATGCTCATATAAAAAGCCATCAAAAGATGAAAGGGTTTTATTTTCCGTGCAACACTGTTAATATGTTTTTTCATGATGTATTGTTTGGCGGCTGTATGCCAAAAGGCGTACCCGGTTAAGCCGCCGGCAGCCAATTCAGCTTCAAACGCAGTACTGGCAAGGGAATCCCCACTGCCGGCACTTACCACACCGCTTAACTGGCATAAAAAACCCTTCCGTTTTGGAAGGGTACATTGTCAAAATGATAGGCTGGAATCTGTAGACAGCAGGTTAGGTATACCCCCATGGCGGTAGCTCAATGCGCAGGGGCAATGTGAATTCATCAGAAAAATCTGTTGTTTACACCACTTAAGAATGATCATTTTCTGTCTTGTTATCTTACTAAAACTATTTCAAATTTGATAAACAATTATCCTACCCTTCGAATTGACGTATTAAAATAATTTACCACAATACCAGTTGCTCAATGCAAAAAAAAATCTCCCCGGGCTACCTGCTGTT